AAGGCTGAGACTGGTACTTGAACTTTTAAAAAGCCCCAGTTGTTTCCACTGCTTTTGTAAAAGGGGCCTCGAACCTTTTGTCTTCAGAAGAGAAGACATAGCTCTAACTCAGTGTTTCTCAAAGTGGTCTGCGAAACTACTCTGAGAAACATGCTAACTGGCCATGCTAGTTTGTTTACTTACTGGCACCAAGGCCACGGAGTCTCACAGCTCCCATTGGTGGTTCGCCGCTTGCAGCCAAGAGGAGCCACAGGAAGTAGTGTGGGCCGGGCCGCTGCTTCCTGCAGTTCTCCTTGGCTGCAAACAGCGAACCGGAGCCAAGGGGAGCCCCAAGGCTCTGTGGCTGCAGCACCGGCAAATAAACAAGCCGGCACGACCAGTCAGTATGTTTCTCAAAGTAGTTTCGCGGACCACTTTGAAAAACACTGCTCTAACTCTTTCCATAAGATTGTGGCAATTTATTTATTTATTTTATTTAGAAATATTTTTTTAACCCTGCCTCTATTTAAAATATTCAAGGCGGTTTACAAAAATTTTAAAACACAACTTAAAAATATAACAAAAAGTAAAATACAGGACCCCAAGGGGGGCATAAAACCTGCTAAGACTCCTTTAGAGCAGGGACACAAACTCAAACAGCAATAAAAACACGGGTAAAAAGGGTGGTTTTGGCCAGACACTAAAACAATGCCAGCGTCAACGTCTGGCAATGTGTGCACTTTTGAGGCACTTGAGTTTCCCCCAAGCATTGGACACTTTGGAAGTGACTGTTATATAGCAGAACTGCTTCGCAAAAGGAGAAACAGTATTTAAAGCCATATGACCCTCATGTTCTTAGGAAAATAATGTCCCTTAGGGAGATGAAAGGAGAACGGGGGTTTGTTTTAAACGAGGAAAAAAAAAGAAATATAGTTATTTACTGACTAAGCTAAATACACTAAACTACTTGACTGTCTAACTAAACTAAGTCTGAGATAAGGCAAGTGAGCGCGTAGCTGGAGCTCTGACTCAGACCAAAGGTGGCTGAGAAGGAACTGGAGGGTGGGGACACACACAGCACTAACTGCCACCACTGAAGGCACGAGACGGGGAGTGAGCATGTGTGGCCCAGCCAGGTACTGCTGTCAAAATTCTCCAACTAGAGACGCAGGGCACACAATCACCAAAAGTGGAGTACCAACAGGGACTCCACTTGAAGAAGCAGCACCAGGGTTTCCTCTGCTTTTATAAAAGGGAAATAGAACCTTTTGGCTTCAGAAGAGAAGGCATAGTTCTATTTCTTCATACTGGGCACTTGAGAAATCAACGCAAGGAAATAAACTGGCTTCTGTGTGGCTCTTTTCCCTTGTCCTGTCCTTTATTGGATGGAGCAAGTGGAGAACAGAATCCAAATCACAAGGGATGTCCTCTCTCTTCATAGCTTTTATCAGACTAGTCTCTACTTTCTCCCCAAAGTTATTATATTCAACTTATGACAAGTGCTGAAGTCTCTTGTGTTACTCATTATGAAAGGTAGATGAAGGCAGCCATGCTTAGATGTAACATCTATGCATGGGGCACTTGTCCTCATCCTACCATCAACATCATAGGACAACCATAGCTAATGTCTCACTTCATCCAAGTCATCAGGACATAATTCTTTGCTTTTTTCCCCTAGAAGAGAGGATTTGTTAAGAGGTGTAATGAACTCCCCTTTTGACAATTTCAACTTTACCTTATCATTTCCACTGCTAGCCACTGACACTCCAAAATGGCACATTCGTTAAGTGCCTCAGTTCTTGGAGCAGGAGTTCCAGACTCTTATTCCAGACCAGCCAAGGCCAATCAGCGCTCGCGAGCTACATGCAGCTCTTGCCCCCGAAAAGTGTGGCTCACTAAGACACTCCTGCACCCGCTTCCCTGTATTTACCGGGTCAGAGCTGCAGGGTTTTAAAAATGGCACCCAAGATGGTGGCTGTCTTAAAGGGACAGCCTCCTTTTAAAAAAAAATGGTTTGTTTTTTGTTTTTGCTCAACAATTCTGCTCTGCGGGGCTTTTTTTTTTTTTTTTTGGCTTGACAATTCTGCATTTTTTCTGCCGCTGTTTTCCAGACCTTTAATCATCAGACCTTTGTAGGAAGAGTAGGAAATAAACTCCACAAGTTTATGTGCTTTTTTTTTATAATGTGCCTTATCAATAGCAGATATAGAGTGAGTAGGCTTCTCCTACACCAACTGGAACAGAATAGGGTGCATGGGCAAAGCAACACTTGAGTGGTTAACTTCTGAGCTCCTGAAAGCTGCATGTGATGACATCAAGGGGATATTTGGCTAGAAGACTTTAAGGAACAAAATGTGAATGCTAATTCAGGATGTGACAGTCTGCCCCATGAGAAAGCGAAGACCCATGGTGCTAGAAATGTATTGTGTTCTGTCTGCCTGTCTCAGACATTTATAAGGTGTCTATCATCATGATATCCAAGCAATGTTGTTTTTAAAAGACCTACTGCACATGATCATTACAATACTCAGGAATTTTTCAAAAAAGTGGGAAATATTATTCCTGAAGTCCTAGTCAAATCCCAACTAGGATATTTACATTCTGCCATTTAAATTTCTCTATACAGTACTTTTAAATGGAATGGATACTGTGTGATTTACTCCCTGTCCCAAGACATTGCATGTGTTGATTTGCACTGCAAAACATCTGCATATTCAACCCCAGCATTTTGGTTGTAGAAGCAAAATAGATAAATTATAAAATAAAGAATTTTTTATCTCTGAGACTGAAAGGCACATCAAGATTGAATGTCAAGGTGTTACAAAAAGTACACTCAGAAAGAGAGATAAATATGTTGATCAGAAATCTAAAAAAGTATCATGATTTCATTATTATTATTTTTACCAGCTGCAATGCCATATTAAGAAAATCAGACATTTCTTCTGTTACTTCACATTCAGATTAATACTATTGCAGTAGAATGCAAAATTCTTGTCAGATGAGACAGGCATTGTGTAATCAGTTTGAAAGCTTCTAAGTTACCTATAGGTATCACTCACTAAAAGAACAGAATGCTTTGATCTATTTTTCAAAAGGCAGCCTTCTCTTTCCTCCAGAGATCCAAGAATTAACAGATGGCTGCAATACCAAACCTTTCCAAGTTTTAAAACTGATGACAAAGTGCTTCTAAAAATCTCTAGTGAATCATTAGTTAGTCCTAGCAAACTTTTGATTTGACTGGCAAACTTCAAAGTTACAGGCAGTACAAAACAATATAGGTAATATAAAGCCATTACACTACACACGATCAAACTTCTAGCTTACTAAAGGTATTAATTATGATTAATTTTAAAATGATTAATGAATTCTAAATGTCACCTTAAGCTATTTTGCACTGAATATAGAAAATACTTATGCTTACAAGACTGATGTCAGATTTCACTTTTCAACAAGGTATTTTTGGGTTTTTTTTTTGTTTGTTTCTGGGAAGGAAAGTGGTTGTCCACTTTGCCAATTACAGAAAAACAATTTGATAACTTAATTAAAAATATATTGACCCATATTGCCATCTCAGTGCTTCGTTGCTATTAAGCTTATATACAAAATGTAATACTTGTTTCAATTAAGTGTGAGGAAGT